AAGTGGTTGACATTTTGGACGAGATTTAGTAAAATACATGAAGATACTCGCATCGACAAGAGAGACAAGTTTCATTATTTACTGCAATTTACAAAACCTGAGACTGTGCCAAGAGCAATAGTGGAAAGTTTTCCTGCTACAGAAGAAAATTACGAAAAAGACGTGGAGTATCTCAAAGAACGATTTGGAAATGAAAATGTTTTAATTCAAATTTATGTTAGAGAGCTATTAAAACTGGTAATCAATGACAAACAAAAGATAGACTTATTAACTCTTTATGACAAGTTGCAAACTCAACTACGCGCATTGGAATCACTCGGTTTAACTAAAGATAAATTTTGCAGTTGTTTATTTCCTTTAGTGGAATCAGCACTTTCTGCTGATTTAATACAAATTTGGGAAAGACAACGAGGTATGTCACCTGAAACAACAGGTAAGAGTGATTTGGAGTCATTAATTGATTTTCTAAAAAGGGAAGGAAGTAGAAACTGAATTTAGAGTTAAACTTACCCTGTGATGTTTTGGGTTCTGATAAAGTAAGTAATAAGAAAAAATAAGTTTTTTGACACAAAACCTGTTGTTCCAACTGCATGTGAACTAATTAATGCAAATAATAGTAATAGTAGTAAGTGTAATGAAAATTTTCAAAAGTATAAAAAGTCTGATGATACTTGTATTTTTTGTGAAAAATCCCATTTGTCTGAAAGTTGTAAGGATGCATCTTTAATGAGTTTAGAATGTAAGAAAGATATCATTAAGAAAAAGAATGTTTGTTTTGTGTGTAAGAAAAACCATAGAGCATATCAGTGTAAAGCTAAACATAGGTGTACCTTATGTAAAAACCGGCATTTTGTGATTACGTGTCCTGATTTGCCTTCTTCTAACAAAAAAAAAAAGTGTCACAAAGTTAGGGAATGACGAAAACAAAACAGGCATTCTTAATAACTATGTTAAGGTATCAGATGTATATCTTCAAATGTTAATTGTAAAAATTCAGAATAGTTCTAAAGAAATGTTTGTACGAGCAATTTATGATAGTGGTTCTATGAAATCATATTTATGTAATGATGTTGCTCAAAGGTTAAATAGTAAGTGTATTGGTGAATCAAAAATTAAGCAATTTCTCTTTGGTGGAGTTGAGACTTCAGAAAATGTGTATAAAAACTATATTATTGAAGTAAGCAATATATATAGTAAATATAAGTGTAAATTAGAGGTATTTGGTCAAAACAAAATTTGTTCTGAAATTAAGCAACTCCCATCTGGTTTGTGGTTACGCGAACTTAAGTCACATGGTATCAAATTAAGTGATTTAGAAAATGGTCCATGTAAGGTCGATAAAGAAATAAAATTACTAATTGGTGCAGATTTTGCTGGTAAGTAGCTAACTGGAAAAATTGTTCCCCTTACGTGTGGCGTGAGCGCTGTGCATACGCAGTTAGGCTGGACTGTTATGGGTAAATTTACTGGCACTGAGCCAACTACGATAAATACTGCATCCTTCCTAATTTCTTCTTTGTTAGTGAAGGGTCAATGTGTTAGTGATCTCTGGAAGTTAGATATTTTGGGTATTAGGTGAACCTTCTGGAAGTAAAACCGAAACACAGTTACAGGAGGATACGCAAAAATATTTTGAAGAGACTCTTATGGTAAATTCAGAGGGAAGGTACGAAGAAGCATTACCTTGGGTCTCGGATAGCTCACTTTTACCCGAAAACAAAGTGATAGCAGAAAAATGCCTTGTAAGTACTAACGAAAATTGATGACTATGGGAAATTTTGACGCTTACGGAGACGTTTTCCAGAACTGGTTAGCACTCGGAATAATTAAAAAAGTACTGGATAAGAATACCTCATAGAGTGGTTGCTAAAGAAAATAGTAGCATGAGTATAAGACCAGTGTTTAACGCAAGTTCTCCTTCGCCTGGTTACCCACCATTGAACGATTGTTTATCTACTGGACCAAATTTAATTGAAATTATACCTTTGATTCTTAATCGGTTTCGCAAGAATTACGTTGGTGTCACTTCAGATATAGAAAAAGCGTTCTTGCAAATGTCTATAAGGGAAAAGATCGAAACTTTTTTAGATTTATGTGGTTCAGTAGGGATAATCAAGAACAAGTTGACCCGTATCGGCATAGAAGGGTAGTTTTTGATATTACGTGTAGTCCGTATTTATTGGCCGCTACAATACAATATCATTTGAGTGTAGTTCCCGAAAGCTTAAGTTATACAGCGAAGATTTTGAAAACATCCTTTTACGTAGATAACTGTGTGGCTAGTATGAATTCAGAAATAGAAATGAGAAACTTTGTAAATGAATCACAAATAATTATGGCTTCGGGTCATTTTAATTTAAGATTCTGGAAATCCAATACAAGAAGTGTTGTGCCAGAGGAAGATTCCTCCACGGAAGGAGATGTGTTTGCTTTGGGCCTTGTATGGCATACAGTTACAGATACCTTATCTTGCAAAATAAGTCAAGATATAAAACTGGATGACCCAGTTACTAAAAGACTAGTTTTAGCAGTAGCTCATCAGGTGTTTGACGTTATAGGGCACACGGCTCCTGTAATGTTGATTCCAAAACTAATTTTACAGGAAACTTGGAATTAAAGGCTTAAATGGGACGATGTTCTTCCCGATGAATTAACCAAAAAATTTAGATTTTGGCTTAAAAAGTTGTACTTGCTATCCAGTATCCAAATACCTAGATGGGTAGGTCTCAATTCTATCAATGAAGCTGTGAGTATACATCTCTTTTGTGACAGTAGTAAAAGTGCGTATGGTGCATGAGTCTTTTTAAGAGTACAGAGGGGCAAAAAGGTAAAGGTTAGTTTGGTACACGCAAGATCAAGAGTAGCGCCTTTGAAACCTATTACGATTCCTCGATTGGAACTTCTTGCTTGTAATATTGGTTCTAGGTTATTGTCTTCAGTTATTAATGATATTGGCCTACATGAAGTCCGTGATTCAGCCATTTTTGAAATCGTAGGATGTGATCTTGCAGGACCCTTGCATTTAAAGGATGGGTGAAAATCATATATTGTGCTCTTCACATGTGCGGTTTATTGTGCTATCCATATGGAACTGGTTACCTCATTAATAACTGAATCATTTTTTCAGGTTTTAAGGCGTTTTATTGCATGTCGTGGACACCCTACCAATATATTCTGATAATGGGACAAATTTTGTGGGTGCAGAGAGAGTTCTGCAAACTATTGACTGGGACTGCCTCTGCTCTAAGGCTGCTGAAAAGAGAATACGATGGAAATTTAATCCTCCATCTGCAGCTTGGTGGGAACGTTTAATACACATTGTAAAGCAAATATTGAGAAAAATTTTTAGGTCGTGCTTCTCTTGGTTATGAAAAGTTACTCACTGTCTTGTGTGATTGTGAAAGAATTGTCAACTCAAGACCACTTACGTACGGTGTCTGACGATATTGAAGATCCCTTGCCTTTAACTCCAGAAAAATTTCTGCATGAAACTCCACAGTTGGGTGTACCTGATATTGACAATGTGGACAAAGAAAAATTGAGTAGAAGAGCGAAGTATCTCCAGAGAATGAGAGAATGGTTAAGAGTGAGATTTCGCTCTGAGTATCTAGGGCAGTTAAGACAGCAGTCTACCAGAAATTACAAAAATAAACCTCTCTCTGTAGGATAAATTGTCTTGCTGGAGGATCAAAATAAAAACCGTGCATATTGGAATTTAGCACGCGTTACTCGAGTGATCCCTGGTCGAGATGGCAACATAAGAGTTGCTCTTGTAAAAAGCAATAATTCAGAGTTTTTAAAACTAATACAGAGATTGTTTAGATTGGAACTGGATAATATAATAGATAATACCCAAAATGATCAAGTTCCTTTCACCACCAGTAGTGGTAGAGTTGTAAAATCATGAATAATGTAATTCATGTCTTGAGTTATTATAATTTATTTTGTAGTGCTATTATTGTTATATTATTCCTCAGTATTAATTTTGTTTTCAAGTAATATGATTTAAGCATTAAGTAATTTTCTTTGTTATATAAACCTCATTTATATTGATGTAAGTTTTATGTTTTGAGTGTGTAGCCATCCACTCAAAAGGTGGGAGAATTGTGGCAACACACTGCCTTTCTGTGGCAACCCTAAAGAATTCGTCTGTCACGAGGATCACGTGCCCAGATGCATCATTACGTCTACGTCTGCTTTTCTGTTTGATAGTTACGTAGTTGCATTTAAGATTTTGTAGAATAAGAAATGGCGTGAAAAATAAACGTTGGTGTTTAAAAAGTGTCAGCTCAGATTTTCGAACTTATGATTTACTTGTTAAGCAACAATAAGTATAATATCATATACATTTTGTGATAATTATGATGCCTCTTCACTAAATAATCAAGGTTATAGCAAAATGAGTGTTGATTGCATTTATGCTATTACAAAGCAATCACATCACAGCATCTTCATTATTAATGTATAAATACCAATAAATAAAAAAAAACTACCAGTTCTACCAATAAATAAAAAAATCATATTTTTTTATTTGTAGTGTTAGTAATATGCATAACATACCCAACGTTTGTATCCTATAAGACAGTAATAATGGAGATAACCGACATAAAAATTATTCATCTTGTACATAGCTCACCTAAACTTATGATACCAAGTATTACAATACAACACAACAGACTTATTTTATGCCTTAAAAAATCTTTTCCTTAAATTATTTTATTGTAAGAATGCAATATATACTACATTTAACACACAAATTAAGTGTTCATATATTATTTATGTTTAATGTAAGTTTTCTTGTCAACAGCAGATATTAATAGTTAAGTTTTAGAGGAAGCAAAATGTTAACATAAATTTGTAACTGCAAGATGTTGCCGCTTCTTACCTTTGCATAATTCATAAATTGCATAGCAATTTTCTGATGATATAGTAGATTAAATGAGAAAAAAGTGTCTATTTACATGAAATTACCTAGCACATTGTAAACATTTTAAACTTACTTGCAGCTATAATCATCACCAGGAAATTTACAGCACAACTCACAAGCTTTCGTAGCAGGATCATGAGGACCATGACGGCACTGACATGGTTCCAATCCATATGCAACACATATTGACCCTGTACATTCCTATGCAAAAATATAAATTAATCAGAGGAAAATTTACATCTTTTTTTTCAATCATAACAAGTACTGGATGAGTACAACACTTTTACATGCTTTTTGAAAATGTAACAAAACTTAAGGCATTGAGTAAATGACACCACACCTAAATGCAGCACTGCAGCCATAGCTTAGTCCAATATTTGTCAAGCAGTAAGGACAAAGGCATGCCATTGTAGTTGACAGAAGATTTAAAGATCACACATATTCTAGATGTTGATTAGTGGTTTCTGAAGATCTTCAGGATCAAGCCTTAAATAATACAAAAACTATGACTTAATAAGTGGAAACGTTGGTACACAGGACAACAGATGAAAGACTACATAAGCATTTTGATTTATTATGAAGTTTGAATCAATAGATTCCACCCCAGCTGTCCTATGAAGCAATGACAGGAACTTGTCAATATCTATTCCTCTACTTGCTCACCAAAGAAGCAAAAGATTTTTAGAATGAACTGTAATAGAAGATGTGAAATACTGTATGATACTGTATGAAATGTCGAAGGAATGTATGTCAATTTGCAGACCATGCATCAACCCCAAATAGAGGACTACATCCCTAAAACATCCCTGGAGCTCTCCATATGAAAGTCCGGCGAGAATCAGACTGCAAGCTAAACCTGGACTCGTCGGAAAACATCACACAAGCCCACTGTTGCGGTGTCCACAATGCATGCTCTCTACTCCAGGCTAACCGTAGGCGACAGTGAGTTGCAGTAAGTGGAATGCATCTGACAGGTCTACGAGCATATAGACCAATCTGCCCTAAGCGTCTGTACACGGTCTGCCTTGAAATTGTACCAGCGGCTGAAGAGAGCTGACGAGACAGGTCTGAGGCTGTGCTCCGCCTGTTTCCTTTGGCAGTAACTGCCAAATACCGGTCCTCATTCGGCGTTGTAACTCTGGGGCGACCTGTGCTGTAACACCTACTCACATTACCATCATCTTGGAATCGTTGCCAAAGCCTGGAGATGACACTCTGGGCAATTCCAAGTTCGTCTGATACTTCCAGTTGGGTACGCCCACATTCCAGACGGCAGATAATTCTACCACGTAAAAAATCATCCAAATGCGTCCTTTGTGTCACAACTATTCAGTTATTGCACTGAAATGCTTACAAAGAGCCTGCGAACAATTTTACTTCTTTGCCTGTATTCCTTATATATCACTCTCTTACACTCTCGCCATTGTGACGTACCATCGATGTCATCTGGTTACTTCCTGAAATTTGCATATGATTCTTGAAGATGTGTGTAGTGATTTTACAGGTGATATATTTATTTTAGAGTTCGATTTCCGCATGACTCGAATTATCCTTAATTTATGGACATGAGTGTACTTACATTACATACACTACTTACTATACCCATAGTAAGCAGCTAACTTATGATAATGAATGACTTTATGCTTCGAATTTGATGACTTATGGATCCAAATTATGATGTTGTTCAGCCTATTTAGGACACAGCCCTTTCAGTCAAATCGGATTCCACAACTACACCTTGTCTCCTTCATTTAATCGAAGTCCTGTAGCTCCTGTACCATATCAGGTCTTCATTTTTCTGTCGCCATGTTGACTTCCTCGCATGCAAACTTGTGCATGACTTTAAATCATGGCTGGAAATCTTGGATGTGTTCCTCAGTCTATGAAGGCACATCTGGAGGGCAACCAAACAGAAGATCGCAAGGCAGATGAAGATCATGACGAAAGAGCATAGTGCCTCTGGGATGAGGAATAGCCGGTAGTTTCATGGATAGCACTGGGATAAGCTAGTAAAAACATATATAACTTCTTGTCCCAGTCCTGTTGGTTTCTGGAAACCACCACAGAGAGGTTATTAAGGATAGGTTGATTAAACCTCTCTGCCATGCTTTCTCACTAGGGATGTAAAGGTGTAGTTTGGGTTTTGTCAATGCTGAGTAGCTTGCTGAGTTCTTTAATTACAGCAGATGCAAAATTTCTTTTCTTCCTTGATCATAATGTAACTGGAAAGGCACTCCAGACCTAGAAATCCAATCCGCCATCATGATCTCTGTACTGTGACGGCCTCTTGATCAGGAATAGGATACACTTCAGGCCACTTGGTAAAATAATCAATGTTAACAAGGATGTATTTGTTGCCATCAGCAGTTTGTGGCAGACATCCCAAGATGTCAAGGGTGATACGTTCAAAAGGCGCTCCAGGTTGCAATGCTGCAGTTTGCCTTGGCTGCGTTTCTTCAGTCCTTTCCAATTGCACAGGCATAGCAAGATCGGCATCCCTTTTGTACATCATCCTTTGCAGTACTCCAATAGAAATGCTCTCCAACTCTCTACAAAGGCTTCATTATTCTGAAGTGCCCCTCCTGTAGGGCTGCTATGTAGTTCTTTAAGTATGTCAGGAATCTTGGAAATATCAGCTGCCATCAGAAAGTCTTTCTATCATCAGATTCAAATTTCCGGTACAAGACACACCAGTTCGAATATGGAGTGAGTCCCAGAGAGCCCAGCATTGTCTTTTTGTCAAACTATAGATTGAAATTTCCTGCCAGGTAGGTTTTCTGTTTGAAGACTTCATTAAGTCTATCAGTCTATTAGTCTTCATTAAGTCTATTAGTCTACATTAAGTCTATTAGTCTTCATTAAGTCTTCAGTAAACCTACCTGGCAGGTTATTGATTCATAGGATGTCGCTAGTTTTAGTTGAACACTCCAAAAAGGTGAAATGAGACAGCCTTTGAACATCTGTAACGAGCTCCTGGCTGTTAGCTTCTATTGACAGGATTTCAAGTGAAGCTTGCTGTACTCTTTTAAACATGCACTGGATAGAGCTTCTGAATGTAGTCTCTGGTTTTCTGGAAGTTTTTGAATATCCACAGCATCTGCTCTCAGAGAAAATGTGAGATGACAGGCCTTAGATTGAGAATCCCATCAATTCACATCTGCCTCTATAGAAAATTGTGTCTTATACACTTGGCAGGAGGTCTTTCATCATGAGTTGATAGCTTGAAAGAGGGATGAGAAAGTACAGGTAACCATCAGAATTGCTTCCTGCTGTTGCTATGCATTTCTTTAAGATGCCAACTTCTTTGGTGATGGCAGTAGAAATGCTGTCTTCAATTTGCTGTTCGATTTGTTCTTGGACAGCAAAACTCTTTCTTCAATTTCTTGTTCCACTGTACAAACTTAAAAAAAAATTTTTTCCAATTCTGTCTTCAACCTTGTCTATCCTGCCTTCCATAACCTTGAATTTATTTTCTATTATGCAGGTAATTTCTCTTTTCATTTCCCCTTGACTTGCTTCAATCTTTGCTTGTTTGCTTTCATCTCTGCTTTAACCCTTTCAGGACAGGTGTCCCATACACGCATTCCCTAAGAACGTCTCTTACAGCCAGGCATCCCATCCACGCATCGCTAGAGATTGCATTCAGATATGTCCATTACTTTTGAAATGAACAGCTTCCTGACCTTGAGTTTGATATATTCTGCTTGACTTTGGTATTTTACTCATCAGCTCTTGTGAGGGTGGGGGGGAGGGAAAGCGTAAACAGAGGCGAGCTCTTTAAACTGCTGTGTGCTAGTGAAAACATTGGTGTGTCTGATTTATATCCAATTTCTTTTTTTATTCTATTTTTTCTTTGCTATGTACAGTCTTTTAGGGTTAGTATGTGGACTATTGTTACGTTTTGCATTGCCTTCAGTTATATTTCCGTTTTTTCTCTTTTTATTTCGGAAAGCCTCACCTCCAATCTATTAATGGCGGGAAGGCGCTATTTATCAGAGGAAGAATACCTTCGTATGGTCAATGCATTTATTAATGCAGATGAGAGTGATGATTCAGTTTCTAAAGCGTTAGAAAGTGACACTTTTTCTAAGAGTTAGAAAGTGATACTTCTCCATAGTGATACTTCGAGATTTACCACAGTCTTCATTTTAAATTTTGTTACTTCTTACTTTAAACAGTCTTTATTGTGTTGTTTTATTAATTTTAAACTTTATTGAGGGATTTTATCAATTAAAACTTCGGAATAATTTGAATAGCGCTTCCGAAAATTATTTTGCAAGATGAGCATTTTTTAAAGTGTATTTTCATGTAAAATAAAGAAAAAAAAAAAAAAAAAAACGTTATTAAGTGCTAATTTTAACATATATAAGAGCTCAAGTAATAATCTAAAATGATACCAAAAATTACGATGCTAGAAGCGAAACTTTGTTTTCCCCGATTTTTTTTATAAAATTAGGCATAGCGACGCAAAACCTCCATCTTGTACAGTGACTGCCTTCAATTCCCTTCCGTCCCGTACGAGCGTCTTAAACAAAGTTGTGCCGTCGCGAAAAGGTTAACAAACACCTGAATAGCTTTTATCTCCTTTTTAACAGATACTTGACCAGCCTCCATCTTTACTTGAATGGCTTTTATCGCACAGATTCTTAGCCAGTTTCAACTCTTCTTTGAATGCAGTAGATGCTTTAATTTTTCTTCCATTGTTTTTGTCACTGATATTCAATCCCACTCCTAACACCAAAAAGTGTTGCATGACGGGTCCATAATAGATTGAATGCACAAGTCCTATAACAGGTTAATAAAAAACTGGAATTTTCCTGAGAGATATTCTTACAAGTGTTCACGATATCACACAGTATAATGAGTAGTTATACTTCAAACTACTCTAAGAACATTAAAAGACAGCACAATGCAAAGCATATATCTAAAGAGAAAGTTAACTCTGATTATCTCAGTTCGTGCAAAACTACAACTCTCAAGAACAGTAACTAAGCAATTAACTAAACAACTGCACAGAGATGTTCTCTCCCTGGCTTTTTATAGATTTGAACCGGTCACAATATATTTCTAGTAATTTCTACCTCTCAAGATTTCTGAAAAGCAATAAGAGGATGGAATTATGTTGACAGCTAACATAGTGGCCAATTAATTTATTCAATTTGAATACAAATTACCGAGATATCTATTTACTCACTGTTAAATGCAGGTACTCCTGTAGTTTTACTTTTCAGGCAAAACTTTCTCTTAAAATTTGTCTTGTGCTGCATTGCACGGGGAAATACAACAGTTTTAATAATAATTCTACTAAAATTAGCTATCTAAATACAAAATTTGTAAGAATTACAAAATAATCATTTAAAGATCAAAATATACTTTTTATGCATATGAATAGCTTCGCGATACTTACCCCCATATAACAGACAAATTCTTCATTGCAGACTGTTTTATTTGGCTTATTAATAGAAGGTGGGCAATGTGAATGTTTCCCAATAACAATGAGTCAAGGTAATATGAAAATGAAAGTATTATACATACATTTATTTACTATTTATAAACTAACAATATATTAAAATAAGGTAAAATATATAAACCTAAAAAATCACTTTAAATAGTACCTTCCAATAGTCTGTTTCACAAAGTAAGCATTATATTTGCCATATAAGCTTGGGTTATAAATTATCAGACAGGACTTATCTCTTAAATATTGCTTAAAACCATTTTCTTCACATCAGACAAGTTTTATCAGCTTTATAAAACAAAAACGTAATGCATAATTAGATAACTGCAGAAATCATCCTGAATGAAACAACATTAAGAATTAATTGTAGCACAAAAGTTCACAAGAATAGGATTAAAATAATGTTAGAATCTGCTGCCTGCTTTCTTGAAAGCAAAAACTAATAAGTGCTAACTATTAGAGCCAGACTATTTGTATGTTATATTGTGAAATAATGTTTTATATTTAAAAATATATGATTTAAAAATGCTTACACAGGTTTATTAACTATCTTCAACAAATCATTAGCAGTCAATCAAAGGGATTTTCTAAGCACTAAAATTCAATAATACATAAAATTAATGCAAAGCAGGACTTTTCAGAATTGTCTAAAGAAACTTGAGAGCTAATTTGATCAATAATAATTCTGAATTCCAAAATCAAGTCTAGTCTGTTTAATTTAAATTGCTCCACTTATGCATAATTTATAAGTTCACTTGATTGCATAATTTCCATTTTTTTCATGTAACAAATTGGTGGGGTTTCCCCCTCCCAGAAATCTTGGATTGGATGCCATCTTTCATGACCGGCAGATAACAGACACTAACAGATGACAAATAACTGCACGCTGTCTGATAGAACTTTGTGAAAAAAAAAACACATAACAACAGAAGATATTCATATGACAAATGAAATGTATGCATTCTAAAGATGAAAGAATCTTTTAAGAATCTTTTTTCTATTTTTCTTTATAGTGATAGTTGTAAATATTCATGTTTCTGTCGTGTATTTTAATAATGTGAAAAATCTGTGGATATCTCCATTAAACATTCAAATTAAAATGTCCGTTGGCTTAGTCTAATATTATCCCTTAGACATGAAATTCTTCAGCCATTTGTGAAATAAGTTATCACAAATCAAGGTTGAGAATAGTAAGTACCTTGCTTATATTACTAATTACTCAAATTACCATTGCATAGTTACAACCATTTCTTTTATTAAAAATATAAATTTTAAGTGGGCATTTTATTCAAAGAGATGCACTGCAAAATTTGCAACTGATTTAGTATGAGAATAATTTTTTCTTGACGTTTTGTTTTCTAACATTGAGAATAACCTAAAATTTTCAGTGTTTCAACTTAAGCAAATTATCAGAGTACATATATCCTACACTTATTAGTCCATTATTTGAAGTAAGAAAATTTAGTACAAGCTTATGATTATTTCCAAATCCTGATTTTAAATAAATAAATAAATAAATAATAAAAAAAAAAAAAAACACTTTCCAAGATCTTATATAAATTTTTAAATTTTATATCATTAGAAGAATTCAATTAATTTATGTAGTTATAAATTATGATTTTAATAACATAAAATTGTTTAATCATGCACGTAAAACTGACAATCTTTACTTAAAAAAACTAACGCCATGGACTCTGAAGGATATGGTTTAGAAAACAGATGCTGAACTAAACTTCATTTCAAATTTAAGAGTAATTTTTTGCTAGTTACAAAGAATTAGTACTTAAAAGGAATTAATTCTTAAATTATGATTACATGTTAAAATTTTAAGCTCACCATTTAGTGAGATGACAATAAAATAAATCAACACTTGTAAATAACAAAGAATTATACTTTCAAAAAATAAATTTTAGTCTTAAGTTCATGAAACCATGAATTATACGAAATGGATTAAAAATTTCATTATTTTATTGCAATTTTTAGTGATAAGAAACTACATGCAGGATTTTGCTTAGAAAGTGAACCAAAAAGTACATAGCAATATCTAAAATATATATGTAATGAAGCAAGGCACTCATTGTAATGAAAGCAAACTTAGACACAGTCATAAAGCAACTTAGATGTAGAATGACAGTGCAGAATTTTGATTGCATAGAATGAAGATCTATAATGAATAGGAAACTGGCATCCAAGAGAGATTAAATCTTTAATTTTATTTCAGTAAACAATTTACGGCCACAAGCACCTTGGCACACTACTTGCGTGGATTTCAAAATGTTTACATTTTTAGAGCTTTGCAGTAATAAGAGAGCAGCAGGCAGCAGTCCAGTGAAGCCGAATTGCAGAAAGCAAGTCCAGTTGTGTTCAAGATGAAATCTTAATTCAGAATAAGTTAATTTTAATTCTCAATGTATTTGATTGGATAAAATCAAATCTGCTACAAAATTATTATTGGCTGTTTCAGTTTTAGTTCCATTTACATTATCTGTGTTATTCAAGAGTCACATGACATGGATCACTCTCGAAATGATGCAGGGCAGAAAAAAATTACTATTTTTAGAATGGAAAGAGGAAATACCAAATTAAGCATTAAGAGGCTATTGCTAATTTAAAGTATGATTTTATCTTTTACACACTTTTTTAACTTTCGTTATATATATTCAAAGGATATTCACAATAGCTGGGGCTTCGGCACCCATTGTCTCCTCGGCATTCTTCTCCAATTTTGAGACTACAGTCATGAGAACAGCATGGACCTTGACTTGGGCTGAAAAAGAAAAATAATATCTGTAGTAAAAACATTTAAATCCATCAATTAAACACTTATTTATACATAGTAAAAAGGAAAGCATATTCTAAATTTAAATTATAATACAGCTGAAATAATACAATCTTTTTTTTGTAGTTAGTTATGCAGCATGCTTTGTTTTACACAAGTGGTTAAAAGGCAAATGGAAACTAATGTGAACGATTACAAAAACTATCATAAATTGTATGTCTTTTGATAAAAATGTCTCATTCAACTGTGTTAATATAATGTCTGCACTACCATAACAGTTTAGGTATGGCCTATCATGCATGCTGCTGTAAAACTTGTTTATGCTGGCAGGCTATACTTAAGTCAGTGTCATATACTGGATATATTAACACAGCTGAATTAGACGTTCTTATCAAAAGCCTTAAAATTCATAATAATCTTCAATACAGTGATTATTAATACTATGTTTTTGTTATTAACAAAAATGGTGTTTTGACTAGAAAATCCAACTTCGTTTAATATCAACTTTATTTCATTTTACAAACACATACAAATTAATGTGACTATTTATATGTAGAGTTTAGTATAATGATAAAATGATTTGTACATCTTAATCCCGAAAAACATTCAGTGTTTTTAGTAATGTAACTTAACTGCTGCTTATTTTGAATGGGAATTTTCCGATCACAACATTTTAAAAAAAAATAAAATAAAATAAAATAAATAAATAAATAAAAAAACTGGTTTCCAGATTCATACATAAAATAAAATTGCAAAACAAATGGTTAAATAATAACAAACAGGAAATGATAAATTCAATAGGAGTGGCAACATCCTCTCACCATTTGCATTGCACACAAGTGTGACTTAAAGCAATGAAAATGTATACATATATAATAGACATAAATTTTAACACATGACATGAAACTGAACTAAGAACTATAAACGTGTGAATAAAATATTAAAGAACAATGAACACACAAATGACATTGCAATTATCAAAGTTTAGAAAAAAGTCAATAGCAGTTCACAAGTCTGTATGTTTAACAGGCACTACTTGACGACCGCTACGAGTTACCTTTACATCTCCCAGAATCTCGTTATCACAACGGCCAAGCATTTCACTCAGGCAGCATGGGTTTGATTCCTGGCATGAGAACCATCTGATGTATCAGTTTTGGTCCAACACTCAAACAGTCGTTTAAAGAAGCATATCCAGGCCGCTTGAAAGAAGTGTCGAACACTGGACGAACCTTCGTAGTAACTACTGGATGGCTTGATAACATGCGTATGAGAGAGATAATGACTAAGCTTAAACAGCTGCTCCACTGGAACAGTTTCTATGATGCCTTCTAATTTCAACTGTTGGAATATAGTATCATAGGCTTCGAAGTTACTTTCATTTAACAAACGTTTTGTTACTATGCGAAGTTGCAATTCAGCTATATCATACTTATCATAAGGCGCAGGATGCCCAGCTAGCCATGGCAAAGCTACTTCATAACGTTCATCTTCACATACCCTTAAGGTTTTTCTGAAATGGATGAAAGTTTCTTTTTCAAGAAGGATCTTATTTTTTCTTTCTACAGGATATGCAATCCCTAAAACTTTTAAATCCCATATCTTTGCCAACTCAAAATTTTGAAGATTTAGCGTGACTGCATTAACCACTTGCTTTTCCTTGCCTAGTCCTAAAATCGTCCAACCTAGTAAAGTCTCTCCAGCTGGAACTCCAGATGTAAGTACCTCAATTCTTCCAGTACATTGGCTCCTAGAAGAACTCATATAGGCGGCATATCTCTTCCAACATCTGTCAGTTTTAACCCTCTAGAAGCAGGCTTAACAAGCAATGTTTCATCACATATTCTGGGTAGCATTGAGCATACTGTCTGTCTATGGTAAGAACAGCTCTCGCCAGTTTGTCTGCGGCTGTCTGTTGCCGTAGAAACGAGCCGTGACCCATTTTTCGTAGGGGTGTCTTGAAGATTTACTTCTCAGTTTGCCACCTTGGCACATTTAAAGATGATTTGGCAATATTCACATTTTATTTTAGTTTTATTTAAGTAAAATACTCGTTGACCCTTTGCGTCGACCCCGACATTCAATTTCCGAAAATGAAAATTGATGGCGTAGATAAAGTTTTTGCAGTCAAGGAACGGTCTTTGATTTTGCCGTGTGAGGTACAAGTCGCTGAATTTGCCATCCTTCTAGATGTACAATGAGTAAAAATATATCAAAATAACTTGTAGGGAAATGCATTTAAAAATCCGTGCTTATTTTGAAGAAAAATGCTCTCAATAAATACTTTTTGCGAACATTTCTTTTTTTCCATACCTTCAAACTAAACCAAACCTGGTCAATTTATGACGAAAGGAAGCGAAGGTAAATTAAAATCAAAACTGCTTTTTACTTAATTACCAGTGGTTTGGGTTGGTTTATATGATTACGGAAAGCCTCCAGGGTTAAATGCCTAAGAGGAGGGATGCCTCTCGGAGGGCTTGCTAAGGAAAACTGCCTCGTATACACGTTACACATGGGGAAAACACACCATGCAGCCAGCCCGTTCACGGATTCAAACCTCGGACCGAACTACAAGGTTCAGTGACTTTACCGATCGGCCGCTGCTTGGCCTCTTAATTACCAGCGCCCATTTATGCATCACGCTGCTTTTTATAGACACTATAATATTTCGTGGGTGTCGGATCTTCAATTTTTGTGTGATACGGGGCATTATCCATGCATACCACACTTTGAGATCGTAAATTTGAAGAAGCTTTTCCAACACCCATTTTCAAAATTTTCCATAGTTCATTTGCCCATGCTAATCCCCGCTTTGAGCTGATGCTTTATATATAAGTTGGGCACCTGGAATAAATCCTGCGGAAGAGCCAGCATGGACAACAATCAGTCTATTTTCGGAACTGACATTTATCTGTGCTCCCAAAACCGTATCATGCTGCCAACATTTCTTAAAAGTTAAAATGCTGTCAATCCATGTTTCATCAATGTAAACGATGTGCGTCCACTTGCTCTGAGTTTCCTCATTTCGCGTAAATAATTGTTCCTCCAAAATACAATGTGAGGGTCTTTCGATAAGAATTTTCTTTTGTTAACACATTTCTTCCAGCGAAAATTCATCGAACGCAAAACTTTGCACAAAGAGTCTTTTGCCACGGGAAGTCTATTTTTGCCTCAAGACAAGCAATAATTTCCGCACAGATGGCACTTTCTTTTCTTTGATGTAAAAATCTTGTATAGTCTGCCATATAACGCATTTGTCAAAATCGTCAATTTCGCACTTATGATTAGCAGGGCTTTTACGTTTCTTTCCAAGCGTATTTAGAAGTTGATCTTCACCCATTGTTGATACTTCGCGCTTAATTTTTTAATTGTATACTCCGATACTCCAGTAGCTTGCGATGTTCTCTTCAAAACTTGAGGAAGAGGAACTACTAAAGAGTTTGCCGAAGCTTCAGAAGCGCAAAATTCTGCGACATTGTACACGATTTGACGTGCCTGAGACTTTAAAGGTTGACCTTTCTTAAACTGGAAGGGCATTTTAAAAAATTGGTGATTAACAAAGCACTACGAAAATCAAGCTAAATAGAAGCAAATTTGAACAAATACCAGTACAAAAGATATAACAACGAGAATAAAAATAGCTAATAGTAATAATATAAGGCTTAAGAAAAGATGCGTGCAGCTGGAATGAAACCGAGAAGACGAATGATAAACTCTTTTCCCTTCAGCCAACAGTCGCCAAAAACAAAATAACAATAAGGCAACCATTGGTTCGTCCCTATTTTAAATATACTAGCCCTGTTGCTATAGCGACCGCCATCCGCCAGACACCGTGGTGGGAGGTGTTCTTACCGTAGACAGACAGTACCTTCTGTTGATCTAGCAGAATCACTGAAGTAGAATACTTTCGATCTAAACTTCCAATAATTACTGCATATATATTATGCTCAGCAGCTGAAGAAATTCCTCTGCCAAACAGTCCTTGAGATAACACTTCCTTTCCGGAAAGAGGAAAATTTAACTCAGCAGCTAAGCTCTTCTGAATATAGGAACAATGTGATCCATCATCCATTAATGCTCGAACACAGATTTCCTTGTCCCTGTGCCATAATCTGATGATGATTGTTTTCAAATATATTTCACGTTCTGACGGAAGATTTGTCAATAGTGGCTCTCTAGAATTTTGCTTTTCATCTGCTGTTTTGTCCTTTGATGAGGAATTAATATTTTTACGCAAATTTGAGCAAAACGTGTAATGCCTCTGTGGCACAAATCAAACATTTCACACTACTGTGACACTTTTTTGCCATATGACCAAGTTTAAGGCAAAAAAGGCAGCATTTTTCTCGCATAACTTGGGATTTTCTGTCATCGTAACTCATTGTTGATAATTTTTGACAATCCTGACTTGAATGAGGACCGTCGCAGACTATACAACTAACTTTCTTTGCAGACGTGTTCGAAATTGAAGTAGCAGCAGTAGGTTCATCTCGTTGAACTGATGCATCTAATTCTTATCTTTCAACACCATTTCCAAATGCATTTTCTGCTAAAACGCGATGTTCTTCACCCTCTACTTCATGACATAGGAAGGACATCAAATTTTCCAGAATCTTTGCAAGGACTGGTTTTCCTATTTCAACTTTTCTGTTGAGTCTAAACCTATCCTAAGACTTTAAACTTCTGTCGGAAGACATGATTCCACAACAGGATACAACATAGATGCATAATTTGATGTTGTTACACCCAATGTTTCTAACGCTTGTAAATATGAATTAAGTTTATTGTATAAATCAACTAACTTGATGATTGATTTGTTATTTACTATTGCCAAAAGATCTCAAATGTGAACTTCAATCAGTAAGTCCTTTCTGCCAAATTGGGACTTTAAATGGTCAATAACTTTCACCTAGTTATCTTTAGAAGATGGATAACTTCCAGCGATATCACGTGCTTTACTCTTTGGTTTCAAGGTAGAAAGCAAATAT